AAAACAAGATCAAAAAGACTTTTTGGCTGATATAAGGTTTTAAAACATGGTAAGATGGACAGTTTTTGCAGTGTGCTTTAATTGTACAGTTCACACATAACTACAGGGAATTATGCAAAACGACTGGAAACATATTTACCAGTGTTAATCTGCAAAAACTACGAATAAACATCATAGAAAAATATATCAAAATATGTTTTCCTGTATTTTTTGTGTGGAGTGTACATTTGAAATAAATACTCAAAACTGTCAAGATATTTTTCCTCTCGAAAAYTACTGGAACGTGTATTTATTGGTAGTTTTTGCGGAGGAGAAATGTGAGACTAAGTTCTCTCCATACTGAGAGTCTTTCCCAACATATACTTTGAGTGTGGCATCTCATCATTTCTCATTAATTTAAATAAAACTGCTATAACTTCATCGCTTCTCATCATAAAATGATCTCAGTTTAAAACTCGTCCCTTTGAGGAATTCTAATGCTTTAATTATTCAAAACACTCGTCTTCTGCCGTCCTGCCCTCTATTACCCCTCATCTGTTCCCTCTTTACCCAAATCCATTTATTTAGTGTTYATTCTAACAAGGTGCAAATCCATCAACCGGGTGTGAAACGAAGAAAGAAGTTYTGATTAGGCAGCATCACCTCTCACACTTCCTGTCCCCGCGTGACCGAAAACTTTCAGCCCAACTGTGTAAAAACCTCTAATAACATCATAACGTCTTGTTTGAAGCAGCCATTGTTGCTCAGGGCTCGTGTTTCTCAAACGTCTTAGAYTTACTCTTAAGCTGTTTAGAATGGACTTATGTGTAAAAAAAWTGTCTTAGCTTAAAGCTGAGTTATGAAGTGTCTCAGTCTCACTTTAAGTGAAGTGTCAGAGTAAATCTTAAGTGTCAGTCGTAGAGATGATTTACGACACTTTGCTGAGCTGCAAACCCTGAACGATGTCGTTYCAAAACCCCCGGCGTGAACCGGTCACCGCATCAGATTTCATGTTCAAGAAGATTCTGAGAAATGMCAAGAWAAAACTGTGAAAATCCTAAAATAAGTRCACATTCGACACAATAACGTTCATAKAATTCACGTTACACTGATAGTCATAAATTACATAAAATTTCCTCATTTACATCATAAATAAAGAAAATATTGCGGATTATTTCAAAAACTGCTGCTTGAATGTTTTTTTTTTACGTCTCAGAGCCTGAGGAAATGTTGCGCCTTCCTCCTCCTCCTCTCCCTCTTCCCTAAACTACCTGCAGACAACACCWCCTTCACACACAGACAGCTACATCATCATCCTCTTGTAAAGTAAAAAGTAGGCTGAAAAATATTTACTCAAGTAACGTACAGATACCTAAATATTAAGTACAATAAAGAAGTGTTTGTACTTAGTTATTTTACAACTCAGCTTAAATCTGGGAGAGTGAGAGTTCTGATGCTTTAAGTCTGAGAGTTGGAGGAAACCTCAGAAACTTTCATCATCTCAGTCTAAAATCTCTCAGGAGTTTGATAAATACGAGCTCAGATCTGTGTGGCCTCTCAGCTGCAGCTCATGAGAAAAACTCCTCATCGATCTGTTGAAAGGCCTCGCCTTGTCGATTATTTCCCCTCTGCGTGTTTACCGTCGACCCCCTCCCCTCGCCGGCAGAGACGGTTACTATGACACCGCTGGGCTCAGCCAATCGGAGCGCGGCCCTGGCCYTCAGGTGACCTGCAGCTATTTTGATCGTATGTGAAGCGAAGCGAAGTTAGAGGCCCAACGTGACGACATCAGAGGCTCTCTCAACCAAACGTGTCGTAAACTTACAGGAAGTAACGTCTAAAACGGAGTGAAGCAAAGACCGCTTTGACTTGTCCGAGCACCTGGAYCAGGAAGTGGGGATGACTCGGATGAGCCGAGGATGCGACCGTCYCCGTGACAACAGGGAGTGCCTCACATTTGTTCTGCTGTTGCCAAGTGGCAGCGCGGTCCGATCCAACAGGTAGCAGAGCTAAAGTCAACATCAGTGTTTGTTTTTTGTGTTTCATCTCTAACCAGGCAGAGACTCAGTTCAGAGACGTCTGAAGCCTTTTTTTTTATCAGAGTTTCACAAAATATTTTTGTTAAACAATCAAACAGTCACACAATCATCGCCTGCTGCAGGTGAACAGTAAGACTGATTCATTGAAAGAGTTTGATGTCACTAAAACTGATGCTTCACATCTTAAAGGGATCCACGATTAGTTGTAACATTAGACTTTATTTAATAAACATATATTTTAATTGTAAAATAAAGAATGTAAAAATACTGTAGGCTCTTTAGTTTTAATATTTTTTAAAATTAAAGTTTAAAATGCAGTATATTACGCAGATGGGGCCATTTTATTTACACGCAAAGCATTCTGGGTAAATGATGACGTGGATAGGTCATCGA